CCGCAGTAATTAGGAGTATCCACCATAACCACCAACGCTGCCGCTGTTGCTAAGCGTGCAGCTTTTTGTTAAATTTCGATTTGAGTTTTAAACGCTAATACCAAGTTTTCCAAAAAAAAAAAAAAACAAAAGCAAAAACGAAAAACCGGAGTAACCAAAAAACGCCATTCGTGCGCTGCTACACATAGTTCGTCGTGTATACAAACAAAGAAAACTATATAAGTATATACATATATACATATGTATGTATGTATGTATATTGTATAAATTTGTAATTCGCATTGTATCCGTAGCTTAAACGCGCTCATAGTCCGTACCAGCTTAAAGCTTGCGCGCTTGTTTCATGCACGCATGCGTACGCCGAATAAAACGCTGGCTTTGGCAGCGTAAGGGGCCGAAGGGCAGGACAGGGCAGGGCAGTTAAGCGAGTCAAACAGCCAGCCAGCCGGTGAGGTAAGCAACCAACCGGCCAATCAACGCCAAAAGAAAGTTGCCTTTGTGTTGATTTCGTTGTTTCTTTGTATGTAAAATATTTGTTGCCGTTTTGGGTTTTCTTTTTGTGTGCGTTTTTTCTTTTTCTCTCCATAATTATTTACAAAAAAGTGTACCAAGGTCAGCATGTGCCAGTCAGTGAGCAAGCAAGCAAGCCAACCAGCTGAAGCCTGTTGTAAGCCAGCGGGCGAGGTTGCCGCACGCGTTTGTCGTTTTCAATTTAATTTCACATGCAGGCCTACCTACATACATACACATATTTTATATCTATATATCGATGTCGTCGACGCATCGAAAATCCTAAAGAAATCCACATAACACAACAATAATAAAAAATCGGAGCGAAACTGAGAAATTGACAAACAACAACGACAACAGTTGCGTCATTATTTACAAAAAAAAAAAACATGTATTTGTATACGTACTTACATACATATGTATGTATATATGTACTCGTATCTGAGCAAAAGTAAAAAGCGTGAAAATCAGCGCGGCAAACGAATTTAGTTTAGTGACTGTGGAAAAACGCTTAGCGCCAGCTTTGTAATATACACACACAAGTAACTAAGTGAGTGTCTATGTAAATATATACAAATGTCAATATGTACAATTTTTTTATATTTTATTGTGCCAACCAACCATCGCGACGCGCGCATAAAGATAACGAGCGTGAAAGCTAAACATGAAATACATTTTTCAGCCTTAATATCGCAATAGTTTCTTTTACACGCATGCACATGTATGGTACGGTATATACATACATATGTATATACAATCTAATGAATAATTTTGTCTTACAAAATATTTTGTGTATCGCAAAAACACGTGCTTTTACATTTTCATTTTGTTTTTAATGGCGAAAACCCGAAACCGGCAATAACTGGTTTACATACAAATATTTATTATTTCATAGTGTTATATATATGTATTTATATACATACATAGTGTTATTCTATTCTTAGTTATGAATTGATTATCTAATTGCGCGCTTAGCATTTTTACATGTAAATGTGTATTATATGTACATATGCCTGAAGCTCATTCCGTTCCCATTTGTGATGAGATCACTTAAAGTAGCTGGTTAGGGTAACATATTTCTTACGAATCGTTTGAGTCTGTTACGCTATATAATTTTAACTTAAAAAAAATATACTTCTCTTACTCTTTGAGATTTTGTTTTTTATACTTTTTTATTTTATTTTACATTTTATATATTTTATGTTTATTTTGATTAATTTTTTTAAAAATAAATTTTACTTTTTTATATATAGTTTATTATTTTTCATTTTTATTATTTTAATTTTCTATTAAATTGTATTTCTATGTTTTAATATTTTTTTTTAATTTTTTATTTATTTTTCTATTTTTTTTATTATGTATAATCTAATTTTTTTATATATGTTATTATTTTAGTTTCCTAATAGTTTTTTATTTTGAGCTATTCCACTTTTATTACCTTTAAAATTTTAGTTTTTTTAAATTAATTTATTCATTATAATTTTCTTATACATTTTCTAAATATTTTTAGAGTTTTTTCATTAATTTTATTATATGTACAATTTTTACTTTATTATTATTTATTTTTATTATTTATTTCTTTACTTATATTTGTTGAAACATTTTCTGAATATGTTAACTTTTTCTCTTTAATTTTTATATTTTCTTTTTAGTTTTTATTTTTATATTTGTATGGCTTTTAATATTATTATTAATTTTTATACACTTTTTTATATATACATTTGTTCTACTTTTTTATATATAGTTTACTAATTTTTACTTTTATAATTTTTATTCACATTCATATTTATTTATTTTAATTTTTTTTAATATTTTTATTAATTTTTTTATATGTATACATATGTTTTACTTTTTTTATATATAGTTTACTAGTTGCATTTTTTATTATTTTCATTCCTATTCATTTTATTTCTATTTTTTTATTACTACTTTTTAATATTTTGTTTCTTTTATATATGTTTTCAATTTGTCTATTATAATTTTAATCCTTTCTTATATATTTTTTAATATCTTCGTTTTTTTATTATTTTTGTGTTTGGGTTTTTATTTCTCTTAATGTTTTTTTAATTAATTAATATATATTTTTTTTCTTTCACACATATTTTTAATTTTTCTGGGTGTTTTTTGTGTGTTTTTATTATTATTATTTCTTTTATTTATTTTTTTACTTTATTTATATAGCTTACTATTGATTTATTTTATTTTGTTATACATTTTCTAAATATTTTTAGAGTTTTTTTCATTAATTTTATTATATGTACAATTTTTACTTTATTATTATTTATTTTTAATATTTATTTTTTTCTTTTATTTGCTTAAACATTTTCTAAATATTTTAACTTTTTCTCTTTAATTTTTATAATTTTTTTTTAGTTTTTATTTTTATGTTTGTATGGTTTTTAATATTATTATTAATTTTTATACATTTTTTTTATATATACATATGTTTTACTTTTTTATATATAGTTTACTATTTTTTATTTTTATTATTTTTATTCATATTCATATTTATTATATTTTTTTATTACTTTTTTTTATATTTTGTTCCGTTTATATATTTTTTTAATTTTTCTATGTATAATTTTAACTATATATAATTATTTTCGTTTTCTATTAATTTTGTGTTTTTATTTTTATTTCATTTAATGTTTTTATTACTTATTTTTAATTAATTTAGTTTGTTATTTTTGTTTCTTTTATACATTTTTTAATTTTTTTTTTTTTGTGTTTAAAAACGAAAATATTCATAACTCATTCATTATGAAGATTTTTTCGGTGACTTTTTGGGGGAAAAGATGCGTCTACGTTGACTATAGCATTCATGACAGGATCATCAAAAATGAAAAAAATCTTATTTAGCTAAAACAATATGATGGAATTTAGAATTTTCTTTTTCTGAGAAAATGTTTGCCAAATCTGTAAGGTAACCATGATTAATTTATATATTATAATATAAAATTTTTCTTGATTTCTAAAAAAAAATTTTTACCCGGGTAAATGCCTCAAGCGATGAGTCAGGTTAATATAAAAAAAATTATATTAATTAAAAAAAAATACTGACAAAATAATAAACGAAAATATAAATAGTAAAGTGAGTTAATTACATATAATAATACATATGCATTTACATTTGTACATATAATTTACTCATTTATTTATGCTTAATTATTTTTGCATACTTATGTATACATACATACATACAGATCTATTTTTGATCGAAGCGAAAGCTATTTTTAAATAATATTTACTTGTATATACATATATATATATGTATGTCAACTGCAATTGAAAGGTGGGTGTGTGTGTTTGGTGTCATTGAAAACGATTTTTACGCGCAATTCATGAGAGCGTCAGTTAATGCAATATATACCTATATATGTATGTACATATGTAAGTAGTCGCACCCACGCCCACACACTCACAACCGACGCAGTTCATTTAATCATTGCAATGCGTTTTTATTTGTTTCACTTTAAATGATATGTATACATACTAACAAACATATATGCTTGCAGATATATATATGTATATATATTATATTTATGTTTGTATGTCACTTGAACAGCGCAATCAAATTAGGTTGCCACGGGAACGCTCGGGGGTGTCAGGTGCCAATGACTATAAGGTAGATGCATTCTGAATGCTTGTAGATATGTCCATAAATATGTATGTATATATACTATGTCTGTAGTAGAGGCGTAGCTGCTGGTAGCCGCTGACAGGCAATCAAGAATGAAATCATTTGGCGACGCGCGTTGGCTTGCTTTTGCTGGCATGCCATTTTTGCCATTTTTATTCTTTTTTTTATTTTTGCAATTTATTAATGACTGAATGCGCAATTGTGTGTATGTATGTACATATGTATGTATGTATGCCGATTTGTGTGGCTTTATTTACTTATGACACTGACATTGACCCACCTACGCCGAGTCGCGCAAGTCGCTCGCTGCATATGCCTGGCCAGTGCTTCTTCTTCCCGCACGCTGCGCCGGATCACCATTCTGCATGAGGCGATGCGATGGCGTTGTTGCCGTTACTTTAATTAAAACTGCCAACTACAGACGTGTTTTTCACATTTCATTGATGTTGTTATTGTTGTCTTTTCTTGTTACATAACCAAGAGCTTTTGTTGTCTGTTGCATTTGTTTTTACACTCATATATACACTTACATATGTACATACCTACATGTGTCTCGATTTTCTTGCAGAATTCACATATGTGCATATGTATGTATGTATGTATATATGTTTTTAATATGTAAGTTCACGCTTCGTGAACACAGCGCCGCCACACCTACTCTTTAGGTAGCTGTAATTGTCATCAGTTCGACGCGTGTGCGACCACCGACTGTTTACGAGCTCGCAGGATTTCAGCAGCTGTCGCATACATACATACACTTGTTTGCTTTTAAACAGATTTACATATATATATATACATTATTTTATATTTCCTTACCTTAATTAACATCGCCTTTCGACCTCTTTTGCAGGCCCAACGTCCCGAGAACACCGTCATGCAAGCGCTGGAGTCCCTCAACGATTCGCAAGTGAATGATTTCCTTAGCGGTAAGACCCCCTTGAATCTGAGTATGCGTCTGGGTGACCATATGATGCTCATCCAATTGCAATTGAGCACCGTGAATCCGGCAAATGGTGGAAGTTCATCTAATGCTGGCGCAAGTGGTTCCAGTTGTCATGGCAGCAGCACCACTGCGCTGCGTGCACGCTCCAGTCAACGCAATAATCGTTCGGCACTTGCGGCGTCCGCTAGCCACAGTCACAGTCACAATCATAACCACCATCATCATCATCACCACCATCACCATCATCAACAGCAACAGCAACAGCAACAGCAGCAGCAGCAGCAGCAGCAGCAAATCACATCTACCGCCGGCAATCATCACCAACAGCGCAGCACTAACGGTAGTTCGACATCTGCCACGGTTAACCGTATACCGAGCACCACAAGTAGTTCGAACACAACGCATGGCGTTGTAAAATCCAGTAGCAGCAGCGGCGGCTCACTAAAGAGCTCAGATCTCAGCTCGATACTGAGTAAGCGTGACTATGAAAATCTACAGAATATTGTCAAGAGCATTGCTATGTCACAGCCAGCGGCACGCTTAACATCGCCACCACTGAGTCAAATGCTGGCACAACAAGTGCGTCCGTGCGCACCAAACGCACCATCCTCGCTAGCCCATCCTGTCGCCACATCAGCAAACACAGGCTTCCACAGCTCGCATACTTCCACGTCTACCGCCGTGAACGAAGCAGAGAGTGCCGGTGGTACTGCCTCGTCGGCTTTACTAGAGCAGTCTCCCATTAAATCACTATCGAATCTTGTGTCGAGTCCCATCAAAACGGCCGCCATAAAAAGTATACCCATCACAGCAAAAAGCAGCGTTGGTGGTGGTAGTTGTGAAAGTAGCAGCAACGGTAGCGCCAGCACAAGCACTGCTATGGAAACAACGTGTCAGCAAGATCCAATCGCTGCGAAGCTCACCTCGTGTCTATGTACACGTCTAAACGGTGTTACTGCCGACAAAGATGGTAGCTGCATGGAGACCTCACTTCCTACAAGCTCAGAAGAGGCAATGATTACAGAGAGTGGCAGTGCAGTAAGCGCAACACAGGGGCTCAGCGGCACGACTTTACATAAACTTGTCGCTGGAAGCAATGGCAGCACAACTGCAACAGCCAACGCCTCCACTTCCTCTACTCTACACAAGACCGCCAACAATCCAATTACGCGTTCGAAGCATCGCAGCCATCACCATCACCACCACCACCATCACCATCATCACTACCATCATCAGCAACAGCAGCAGCATAGTAGCAAGACGCTAACACCCCTAGTACGCCCCAAGGCTAGCTCGAGTCCCTTACCTCGTCCCATACCGTTAAACTCACGCAGTTTGGAGGACAACAGCTTAGCTACTGGTAGCGACTCTAAGATGCTCACAGCAGCATTGAGTGGAACTCAAAAGTTGCAAGCTAGCACAGCATCTACCAACGTACCAGTAAAAAGCGCAGGCGGCGGCAGCGCCGAATTGGATGATGCCAACGTTACCGTTTCAGATTCGCGTACACTCGCCGAGGCATCGCGTAATTTAACACAAACTCTGCGTAAACTCTCGAAAGAAGTGTTCACCAACAAGATTGATCTGTCTGGCGTCGAGGAGGCGCCACGCAAGAGTAACTCAGGCGCAGTTATTGAATCGATGAAGAACCATGGAAAGGGCATCTACTCCGGCACCTTCTCGGGCACACTCAATCCAGCGTTGCAAGATCGTTATGGACGTCCCAAGCGCGACATCTCCACCGTTATACATATTTTAAACGATTTGCTAAGCGCTACGCCGCAATATAGTCGCGGTGCACGCATAAGCTTCGAGGCGCCAAGCACATCATCTGCAGCGGGTGGTAGCGGCAGTAATGGCACAGCTGTGCATGGCATACGCAGCAGCAAGCAGGTGTGTAGTGCGATAAATTTACATCTGTATTGAAGAATTTTCGCTGACATTATTCTCTTTTCTCTCCTCACAGCTCACCTTGAAGCATCACTACCATCATCAGCACTCACAGTCCTGTGTCAAGTGTATCAAATCGCAACAACAACACGGCAGCAACAGCACCAACGGCGGCACTTGCACTTACGGCGAATGCAACGGTCACTATGCCAGCAGCAAATCTTCTTCCTCCTCTGCCAGTCGCAGCAGCACTCACGCCTGTTGCAAAGATAATGCGGCCACCTCGAACACCAATCACCACGCCGCCCATGAGCGCACCATCTGCCAATGCCGTTATCGCAACAACACCGAAACGGGCGAACGTGAAGTGGAACAAATGTGCCAAAAATGCATCACAGATATGGAAAATACCAAAATGAAATCGAAAATCGACCAACTACGTCAAGTAATGTTGCAGAGCAAACAGCGTCGGGAGGCACGCAAATTGAAAGGTGCACCCTACGGCGCTCGCACGGTCAACGGTGGTGCCGGTGGTGGCGGCATTGGTGGTTCACCGACCAAAACCGCAACTACAACAACCACAACTGCTGTGGCTGCAGTTTGTGCAAACGCCAATGCGGCAGCGGCGATGTCGGCGAATGCCACACAATCATCGTTGAGCTCAACAAGCCCCCAACAGCTGGCCAGCAATAGTAATAACACGACGACAGCACCGACGGCGGCACCCAGTGAAGTATCGCCGAATCATATTGTAGAGGAGGTGGATACGGCGGCTTAAGTCTTTACCCGAATGTGTGTAAAATAAAAAGAAAATGGAAAATCAGGAATCACATCTATAAAAATTAGTTTCTCGTGTCCTAACTTGTAGCATTTATTAGTTTATTCAATAGGAAAATTCTTTGCAAAAGAGAACTTCACTATCCCACATCGCTTTTGAGTGAAAAAATGCATTAAAAAAAATCTATTAAAAAATTAAACTTACAAAAAAGCAAAAAATTCTAAGCATTAAAATAGTAAAAATATGATTAACAAATTATTAAATAAACATGAAAAGAATAGTAATGAAAAATAATAATGATAATAAAAATAATAATAATAACAAAACAATAATAATAATAATAAAAATAATAATAATGGTATTGAAAACTAAAAGTAATAATAAAAAATAATAAATAATAATAGTAACAAAAATAAAATAATAATAAAAATAAAAAATAGTAATAAAAATAAAATAATAATAAAAATAGGAAATAGTTATAAAAATAAAATAATAATAAAAATAGAAAATAGTTATATAAATAAAATAATAATAAAAATTAAAAAAAATAATATTGATAATGCAAAATTATAGTAAAAAATAAAAATAATAGAAAATTATATTAATAATAATAATAATAATAAAAATAATAATAATAATAATAATAATATAAAAATAATAATATATAAAAATAATAATATATAAAAATAATAATAATATAAAAATAATAATAATAATAAAAATAATAATAATAATAAAAATAATAATAATAATAAAAATAATAATAATAATAAAAATAATAATAATAATAATAATAATAAAAATAATAATAATAATATTAAAAATAATATTAATAATAATAAAAATAAAAAAGTAAAAATTATAAAAAAGGGACATTCACTGAAAATAACGGGTAAAATTTATAAATCAATTTCAGTTTGATGGCATTGAAAAAAGAAAAGAATTTGTAAACAAAAATACGTGTACTAAATGAAATTTGACAGCATACAAATTTAAAAAAAAAAATCATTAAAAAATTAAAATGATTTATAAATAAATGCAACAATTAAATTCATTTACGTATAAAACAAAAAATATGAAAATTTACAATTTAAAGAAAAACACTTAAATTTAATCCAAAATTACCTAAAAACGAAAAAAAAAACTTTCTTGAAAATTGCAAAAAATATTGTCACTTTCATTTGTTAAATTATACAAATAAATAAATGATGTTAATTTTGTATTTTATACTTTATAAGTAGTAAAAATTGGATAAAAATGTATGTAGACAAAATTTAAGAGAAAAAAAAAATAACAAGCAAACAAACTCCCAGTTAGAGAAAATTATTTAGTTAATTGCAAAATTACACAAAAACCAAAATAAAAACTATTTGCACTTAATTACTTTAATAAAAAAAAAAATAAAAATTATTAAATAATTACATAAATGTAATTTTTGCACTAAATGCTTGAACGCTGATAGCAAGAATTTGCAGGCAATTGACAGAAATTGTAAATGCCGGCCTGAACGACTTAACGTATTTTAGCCGCTACCAACAACTGTAACAACCTAATGTTCGTAAAGTTTCCTAGAAGAAAGAGAAATTTCGCGGAATTTAAATTTTAGGTGAGAAACTTAAAAATTGAAATTTATATAAATTTTTCATTGAATTTCGATTTTGAAGCAAAAAGCTGTTTTTTTAAAGGAACAACTGTAATTTTGAATGCTAAAATTGATTTTTACCCAAATATAAACCACAACTATTTTGCTTGCTATAAATAACTTCTACAAACAAATAAAAATGAGGAAAATGCAAATATTGAAGTAAATAATTAAACTAAAATCAACATTTTTTAATTTCAACAAAAAAAATTTTTTTTTTTTGTAAAGTTTAAAACTTATTCGCCAACAACCAACCAACCAAGGAAAATGAAACACTGTGAGATTTAAGAAAAAAAAAAATATGCGTAAATATTCAATGTCTTTGACCAACAACCAACACTCAAGGTTAAATATTGTATTAAAAACGCTTGAAAATATTTTTCTAATGCAATTAGCGCAAGGGAGAAAAAAAATAAAGTAAAACAATATGCAGGCAAAAATTGTATTTTGTGCCAATCATGAATTATTTAAACCAACAACGTACACGTGGAAAATCGAATTTTCAAATCGAAAGCGAAACAAAAAAACTCAGCTTGTGAGCCTGTGCGCTTGAGCCCGAAATTAGTAAACAATTGCGCTTGCAAACTTAACACACACACATACTTGCATACATACATACATACATTTAACTACTAAATTATAAGCATAAATATACATTTATGCATATGTATGTATGGTAATGAAAGTATTTAACAATTGTGCAATCGTTAATGTGTCTCTGTGTATGTATCTACGTACAATTGTTCATTTGTATTCTTACTACATTTATTATAATAATATTTAAGCATAACTAAACGCAGTATGAAATGCTATTTATACTTTATATATTATCCCCTTTAAATATACGGAAATACACACATATATATATTTATGTATATATATATATATGTACATATATATATGTGTGTATATTCTTTTGCGTCTCTTTTTGGCTATCAATTATTGTAATTTTGTTCGTTTCGAGTGTCACACACTCACACATACACCCATACCTACTATATTAATAATTCATAATGAATTTTATGTTAGAAAGCGAAAGTAACTGTGCAAGGAAAAAGAGAGAAAAACAAAAATGTTAATGAACTACTTATATTTTTTTCTGCCTACACACACATATATATATACAAATATAATAATTAAAATAATAATAATAATAATGACATTGTCATACATAAAAATAATGCTTAATATTTTGCATATTATTAACAAAAAAAAAAAATTGCATAAAATGAATATGTTGCGCTTTAAAAGAGTTATGTTTACGTACATACATATGTTTGTATGTGCATTTATGTTGTGCATTTGTGGCTTTATCCCTTTTTTGTTTTTTTTTGAAGACCAGTTATATTTAAAATTAATTAAAAATATTACTTTTATAATACAATACATATACAGTTATAAATATATAGTTTTTAATGTTCCCTAGGCACTACTATTATTACATTTTAATTGTTAAACAAAAACTAACTATAATTTCTAACCTCAATTTGATAATTTTTTTTTTTTTTTGCTTACTTGCTATTAATTTCATTAAGGCAACACCGCGAATTGTTTCTTCAATAACACGCATACATACGTAAATTGTGTTAAAACTTAGTTACATACATAATTATTATTAGTGAAGTACGTGAATTTGGAAAATTGTTTTTGTATAAGTCTTACTTATTCCTACATACATACCTATATTGGTAATTTGTAATTTTGAATACTTTACCTTTGTGTTTTTTATTTTATTTTTTTCTTAAATTTAGTTCTTGGTTTTTCGTTTTCCCCCCTACACTAACTATGTTATGTTATGTATCACCTTTAGTCGCCTTTATATTTGTAAATGGAAATTTGTTTGCTTTATATTGCAATTTTGTTGATTTATTTTGCAATTTATGTGAAACTTTCATTAGTAAAGTATACATACATACATATTTGATATATTTTACAAATACATACATACAATATATGCTAAATAAACTTTGTGTAATTAAAAAAAAAAATAAAATAAAATTTAGTGAAATGGTATATTTAGTTTGAAGAAAAAAAAAAACAAAGTAAATTTGTTTTATTTAACAACTACTTTCCGCCGTCTGCATTGCGGTTGGCGTCGTCGAGACAAAACGAACGTTGACCAGTTGACGAAATTGGTATTTCTATTGAAAAAATAGGGGTTTTGAAACTGTGACATCCATTTAACCACTTAAAAAATTCATTGAAAGTAGCTCTTTGGCTTGAGAAAAATTCGTCTCCAAACATTAATGCTCTATTTTTACAAACCCTAACCTGTCAGCTATTAAATTGTTTACTTTTTTAGTTTTACCTCTGAGAACACCTTTGATGATAGCAACAAAAATATTTTTTTTCCTATTTTATAAACCTAAAACTATAAATTTTTTCCGAATTTCTGTAATTATTATAATAATAATCGCAATTTTGCTCTTTCGACGAGTTCTCATCGAAATAAAGCCCAAAAGTATGCTACATTGTTTAAAAAAAAAGTATTGCACGACGCTATAAAGCTTTTTTATATAGTTCATAATAGAGAGATAAGTGTAGCTCGTACAAATCCAGATTTTCATTACCAAAGAAGCGTTTTCCTTTTATCAATACAATTCACCAGTTATCCCACTTAACGCCACAGCATAATGTCAATTTACATATGTATAACGGTAGTTTTAACTTCTGTTCTACCATTTTAACATTTGCAGGCTTATAAAAATAAGAACTAAAAAAATATAGCCGATGACTAAACTACATCTACCAAAAATTTCGTTTCATTTGCTTTCCGTAATAAAAAAATCCGATGCAATGGACGAGCAACTCGCTTACGACGACAATGACTATTGGACAACTAATTAAAAAAAAAATTTGAAATATTTTTATGCCCGACTGTATTATGTGCACAGAGTATTTTAGGTTTGTTCATCTAACGGTTTTATATAACTTTGTAAAATAACCAATAACACTGGCGATCACGATAGCCGAGTGGTGATCATCGCGTACTGCCATTCGGATGACCATGACTCAAGTCCTTGACCGACCAATATCCAAAAATTAAAGAAAATTAGTTTAAATAAAAAAAAAATATTTTTGACTTTTCTAATAGCGATCGCCCTTCGGCAGGGAACGTGAAGACCTCCGAACGTATTTCAGACATGAAATGAAAGCTCCTCTTAAAAATCCATCAGCCGTTGGTAGGCGTAGACTGCAGCCGCTTCAGAAAACTCCTCACGACATTGCAAAACTTCATTATTTTTTGATACTAAAAATTGTTTTTTTTTTTCACTACTGAAAACCTTTTTTTTCTGGTTCTAAAGCAGTATAATTTTTTTTTTTTTTTGAAATTAAAGAAAATATTTATTTCAAAATTTTAAATACTTCATTCTTTGACCCAACTGAAGGAGGTGACCCTATTTTATACCAACATTTATTTTGATTTTTTGGACAGCGTGAAGTTTATATTTTAATTTTACCTGGTTTTGGAATAATTTCTTATATTATTACTCAAGAACCAGGAAAAAAGGAAGCCTTTGGTTCATTAAATATAAATTATGCAATATTATTCAAAAGTTGGATTGGATTATGAATTCACAAAAAAACTTA